GTCTAAATCAACGAGCAAATAACATGATCAACATGAGTTCAAAAGAAAAAATGAATGTTTTGCTTAGGGACAAGCAAAGAGCTAAGTGAGGGTAATTGATAGCCTCGCAAGCGAGCAATTTTGTTATGTTATTTTTAAACATAAATTGCATGATTGCATGTTGTTTTTAATACATTTTATGTTGCTCGTGTTGTTCTTTTTTGCTTTTAAAGTGATTGTAGGAAGCAATGCAAAGGAATGAAAAGGCTTGCTTTTATAGAAAAAGAGGACCAAAAGTTGACTAAGTATGGAAGAACCTGCCTAGCAGACTTCGCGACGCAAATGAGGTCGCGTTGGAAAAGAAGAACTAACAAAGTCGCGAGCGCGACATTCAAATGCGCGAGCGCGAAAAGCAATCCAAAAGAGTCAGAAAGTTTACAAGCAAATATCGCGAGCGCGAAAAGCAAATATCGCGAGCGCGACATTAAAATGCACGAGCGCGAGAAGTACTCCAGAGAGGCAGAGAGTTTATAAGCATAAATCACGAGCGCGACCCTGAAACTCGCGAGCGCGAGTCATGTTTCCTGGAGACATTAATTGCTGCCCTTTCACTAGAAAATCATGTCTTCCCATGCACAGGTCGGGACTCTTCCTAAGAGAAGTCACCTGAAGCACCTCTTGGCCAGCCAACCACCTTCATAACTGCCATCATCTTCCTCTTCTACATCATCTCCTCTTCTATAAATTGAAGTCCAATCAAGAGGAAACCATGCATATATAATATGCCATATGCAATGGAATGTAGAATTAAGAATATAGTGAAATATAAAGTAGTACTTAGAAATAAGATGACGAGAGTCACTTATTATTGTTTGTTGCAAAGAACATCCAATAGTTCCCTCGAGGTGGGTGGACGCCCCATCCGGAGGCTGAGTTTGATTACTCTATCTTTCTTCTTATTTATTAAGACTTTTTGGCATGTTGTACTTTCATAATTTTATATGCAAAGCAACAATAATATTATTTTGGTTTCATTCCAATAAAAGTTTTTTTTTAAAGTTATCTTTGGACCTTTCTTTAACCAACTACTTAATTATATTCTCAAGAAAGAAATAATTTCAAGTAACGATCAAAGGAGATAGAATTCATTTAATTTGGGTTTGCATGTGAAAATCTTTACTTGGTTTGTCAAAGTTAAGTCTAACTTATTGAAAATAATCAAAAAATAGAACTAGGCTTATATTTGACAAAGTAAGGCAATTTTGGTTGTATGTTAGAGATACATATAATAAAAAGAAGTAATTCTTATACTGAGAGGTTGAATTATACTTTTACCAATATGTGATTAAAAAAATCGTCTAATTGCATGTTACACATTTTGCTAATAGAAAAAGAAAAATCTAATGCATGATCAATTCTTCTAAGTATTATAATTATATCTTTATCTATAGAATAAGTAGTTATATTTAATTATAGTTTAAATAGGAACATAGTTAATTATTTCAATGTTTTTATTGCTTGTAAACATAAGTGTTAAGGATAAGTAGTAGATTGGACATAACTCGTTCCTCGTGGGATTGATCTTTTTATTACTAAGTTGCGATCCGTATACTTGCGGGAACTCAAAAGAGACGCAACATTAAGCAAAACAAATAAATTTATTATTTGTGTTAATATTATTTTATGCAGATTTATTTATGTTTAAATATAGAAATAATAAACAAGACAAATTCCTAAAAATCCAAGATTAATTGAAGATCATGAAGACCATTGAAGATTTTAGTGGTTAGCATTTTAGGATTTGTTGTAGGATAGAAAAAATATTCATTTATAAGCACAAAAATATTTTGAAGATTTTAGTGGTTAGCATTTTAGGATTTGTTGTAGGATAGAAAAAATATTCATTTATAAGCACAAAAATATTTTTTCTCTCTTTCTCAAAAATAATTTTCGAAAAGTTTCCTTGAAAGTCAAAAATCACTAACCTAAATGAAAGAGATTTTTTCTAAATCATTTTTGATAACAAATTTTTGAAAAAGATTTTCTTATTTTCGAAAACTATCTCTATTAAAATCTTACTTTTATTCGCTTACCTAAATGAAAGAGATTTTATCTCAATCATTTTTGGTAACAAATATTTTGAAAAAGATTTTTACATTCGGAAACTATTTTTAATGAAAGTTCAAAATCTTGCTTTTATTCACTTACCTTAAAAGAAAAGATTTTGACACAAAACATTTTTTTTTTTTTTTTTTTACACAAATACATCAGGGTTCTTTTTTTTTTTTTTTTGTCAACCTTAAGAATCTCCCTTGATCAGTGACTGAACTTAGATATTGGAACGTCAAAATTTGCTTATTATTCAAAAAGCTTTATAAATTGCTCAATTATCCTAAAATGCCGATGACGTTTCATTTCATCATCTCTCCTAACAAAAGAAGCGTCTTTCTCTAAGCTTTAGTAAAGACGTGCGGTTTTTGTTTTAAGAGTATAAGTCCATTGATAAAAAATTTTAATGTCTTTCAACAACTTGTTGTGCTCTTAACCCCCTTTCATTTCTTTTAATCTTATTTGCTTCAGAATCTATCTTTTAGAGAAAGGAAAATTTTCTTTTACTCTGGCAAGCATAACAATTTTCTTTTTGATCATAAACAGTGTTTCGGTCTTCTTGTTTGAAACATGGATTTTCTAAATTCTGGATTTCTGTTATTTCCTTATGCCTTTACATTCGCATTTCTCTCCTGTCTATCATAGATGTTGTAATCTTGTCGTAGACAGGTCTGTTATTTTGAAAAATTTTTTTGTTAATAGTGGCTTAAGTGAAAAATACTATTGTGGAAATAGGTTATCACATTGAAACGAGTGCAATTTTTCTTTGTCCTGCGAGTTGCATATCATGCTCTTGATTTGAGTTGTTTCTCCTGCAAAAGCAGAAAAGGGTTGAGGTTTGACTAGAACCTAGAAAATCTAGGACAAAGGCTTTCTAGTCTAAGTGTTGATCCTTTTCTGCCTTACTGGTTGGTTTGTTCTCTTTCTGCACCTAGAAAATGGCATTAACTATAGTGGAGATTCTCAATATGCCAGCCTTCGGCCTAGAGTGTGATGTAGTTTGAATGTTAGCTGCCGAATCCAACCGCCTTTATAAATTCTCTCGGTTAATCTTTATATCGCTCTTGAAGTTCTGTTGATACAATTTTACTTACATTTTTGTATAATCTTTAGAAATGCTAAGTTATTTTAATTTTTTGTTTTCTAAACTTCGAATAGCTGGTGAGTATTTAATCGAACTAGTTAGAATCCGGGATTTCTACATGTTTGAGAAAATACCCTGATAGTTTCTTATAATAATGTCTTCTAGATTCACATATTTCACAATTCTGGATTTTTAATCATTTTCTAATTCACTTAAAGCTTTGGACCTGAAGGCCATGTTTAGAAATTCAGATAACTGGTTCTCTACATAGCTCTTTAATTACCTTTGTCTAAAACTTATGAATAGTTACAAAAACTTAATAACTGTTTCTTCATCATTTTAAAGTTGTGTTTTGAATTGATTTAAAGGTACTGAGTTGGTGAGAAGCAGTTAGCCTACATTCAATTGCTGCTCTTGTATAAGAGTTCTTTCTATCTTTCCTGCACTAGGCTGTATATTGTAAGGAAAATCCCCGTCGCCCCGCCAATTCCCTTAATAACGTTAATCTCTCTTAAGTAATGCATTCTATTTCCTCTTCTGTTTCGATACAGAATTCTATTGATTAAGATATTGTGAAGCAGTTCTAATCAATAGCTGCTCTTTATAAAGTCTTTCTATTTTCTGCATAGAGCTTTATGAGGAAATTCTAATCTTAATAACTTACTCTCACAAATGCATTCTATTTCCTCTACAACAGAATTCTGATTTTATTTTTGATAGTTAAACTTTTATTTTTAGAAAACTCAATTCACCCCTCTTGAATTGTGCTATACGTATACGGGACCCACATTAAACTTTGAAGAAATAAAGAGAAGGAAAACTTATTTCAAAGCTGTAGTGTTTTTGCCGTTTGGTTGTCCCGATTTTGTGCTATACTGGTTATATTCTGTCTTAATTGTGTTTGAACATGTACGTATCAAGTATGTTAAAAAAAAAAGGAAAAAGGAAAAAAAGGCAACACTCTACATTCAAATCTGCGGTTTTTAAGAGTTAATACAACAGACTAACCACTAAACTGAAGCATATAAGACAATTACTTTCTTTGGGTAATAATATATAGATATAATTATAAATTATATATAAGGATTCCAAAACATGGGTGAACTGTGCAACAACACACATACCTCTTTTGGTATTTATTAGTACAAATACACAATTCTTTTATTCCCCCACATTCGGAGAGTTTAACAATAAATTATTGATTTTTCTTTTTAAAATTATTTCATTAATGTAAGATTTTACTTTAGTTTAAATAAAATTTATTGTTCTTAAAAGTTTCAAATTTTAACCATTAAAAGTTCATTTAAATGAGAAAATAAATCAAAATAGTTCAAAAAAATAATGTCATATATGCATGAGAATATTGCTTAATTATAATTTTATTTTTTAAAAAAAATTATCTTAATTTCATATATGAAATTAAGAAACAATTATTTTATAATTTAAAATACTTATTCATTCCTTTAAATAATTACTTTAAAATATTGTATGTTGATTCTAATCATTAGATACATTATAAAAATATAGACATCTCAAAATTTTTTATTAAATTAAAACAATAATTAAAATTATATAATCGTCAAGTAATGTAATAATAGGAAAAAGCATATACTAACATGGTTGAAAGTGTTGCTTAATTTATTTAAAATAACGGTTATAAAAAGTGTCATAATAAAAAATGTCGCTAAAGGTAATTTTTATCGTAATGTCATGTGCATATATAGAAATAGAATAATTCTACATACAGCTAATAAAAACATTAACTTGATAATATTGTTGCAATATCTATATACTCAACTTTATCACAACACACATATATGATACTATGGGCAACAAACCCCAATTAATTGGCATAGAAATAAACATGTTTTGACCATTAAAATTCAAATCTGTCTATCAAACTAAAAGTCATTTCCATATTGTTTTCTCAAATTGATAGACTATACTTTAGATCTACCATAGATAAGATGAAATGCAAAAGCAGATTAGCGATCACTTCATTGCATTTTACCTGCAGAAGTAGCAAAATTCAGAAGCAAGAAAAACAAATCAAATCAAAATTCAGTCTTTTAACATCATATTAAATCCTATTTCAACTTAATCATAGAGTGGAAACCAAATGTAACAAACAAGCTAACTATAGTTGTAACAATGTAAATAAATTTTCCTCTACCATATTATGTTTCAATTGTTTAACTCAAAGTTATTTATTTTTGTAATAAATCATCTCTTAAAATAAATAAAAACACTAATATTTAAAATCCATACTTTTGAAAAACTAATATAAATCATCATTTAATTAAATTCCTTTACTTTCATAAGATATAGGTATTTCTTGTAAAAAAAAGTACTTGTTTGAAACTTCTAATATATATTAAGTGAATTCTTGTGTGGATAACAAAACTTAAAACTTTAATGAAAGAATTATAGAATCTTACACAAGTTGAAGAGCAGTATGATCTGGGCGAGAGTAATGGTGATTGGGTTCAAGGAGGTTTACAGGAATGAAGTTCCGATCATATTGCTGTGAAGGTACAGATTCATACACAGACCCTTGCATTAGGTTTGTTTGCTGTTGCTGTTGCTGCTCCTGTGCTCTCTCATTCTCAGCTATCTGCACCAACCCATCAATTTCCATAAATAATCACTAAACACTAATTACAATTTCCAATAAGCAAGACTAATATACAAATGACAAGTAACGCGTAAGAGTTACTGTTGAGATATATTTTAAATTCAAATAGGTCTCCCTGTATTTTGCTGTTTGCATCTTCTCTTTAACTGCATTTATTACATGTTAATATATAACTAGCTTGATTTATGTACACATAAAGTAGGTAAATATTAACATGCAATCAATCATAATTAATCACATATTAGGGAAGGGAGAGAGAGAGAGACAGAGAGAGAGAGAGAGAGAGAGAGAAACCTTTGCTCGCAAATACATATTGTCATTTTGCAGCTCAATCTCCTGCACCATTTAAACAAATTGCTTAAATTTTAAATGAAAAATTGTGAAACTATATGGTATTTTTTTGTATATTTTTATGCTGAGTATATAAATTCACCCTTGAAAACCTTGGGGCAATCTCAATCTTGCGAATGACTTATTATACACTTGAACTTGTAAATTTTAATAATATTACACACTTTTACACTAATATCAATATTTTTTAGAGTTTTTAGCTTTTATCTATAAAATATCGACTTGATATGTAGTTAGCGTGACTTTTAGAATAATAATTTCCATAAATTTCAACATTTTAATGAGTGTTTAATTTTACAAGTTGAAGTATTTAATAAAATAAATTTAAAAATTAAAGTATTTAATAAGTATAATTTTATAAATTGAAGTTTTAAAAATTAAAAGTAGTTTAATAAGGTATAAATTTATAAATTTGAAGTATTGATAAGTGAAAGTAAAAAGTTTTGAGTGTATCACAGTTTAAGAGTAACAAAATTCATGGGTGAAGTATTTAATAAAATAAATTTAAAAATTAAAGTATTTAATAAGTATAATTTTATAAATTGAAGTATTTGATAAGTGAAAGTAAAAGTTGAGTGTATCACAAGTTAAAGTAACAAAATTCATGGGTGAATTTATATATTCGGCCTATATTTTTATGGAAAAAATACAGTACGATCCTTATAGTTTGCAAAATACAACTAGTCTGTCTCTGTCTTTTTAAAAATATATGTTTTGCTTCTGTTACACTACTAGGTCCTTCTATCTAATTTTTGCATCTTTTCGATTAATTTAACAAGAAAACACAAAGGTCCAAGGAGAGATAATAAAATATTATACCAAAAAAATTATAGTACGATATCTATAGTTTTAAAAATACAACTAGTCTGTCTCTGTGTTTTTAAAATTAAAAGGGGATTTTGATAAGGTACTTAATAGAAACATTGCCGAAATTAGATGGATGAACCTTATAGTCTGACGAAAATAAATTATAAGAATGTTTTAATATATTTTATAAAAGACAGGAACAGTCTAATTGTATTTTGCAAATCACAGAGATCGTACTGTATTTTTTCCTAATTTTTATAAATAGTTTACATAGGGTAGGAATGCTTCTACTCCCTAAAAGGTTTATGGAACTTCAATTACTATTTTATTTTTGTATTTGAACTATAATTCCTATTTTAATTATGAATCTTTTTAAAAACTCTTCAAAAAGGTTTTTGGCACTCCATATTAAATTTTATTTGACTTAATTGGATATATTTAAATTTCAAAAAATTAAAACATTTTTAATAAACCTATATTTATCTGTTACTAATTTGAAAAAGAAAAAAAAAAGTAACATAGCACGTTTCTAATTTATCCTTACAATTATTTTTTTTTAATTCACAAAATTTTTCTTTTCCAAAGTCCTTTCATTTTTAAAAGCTTTATCAAAATAAATTCATCTTTACTTGTTTACATATGTTAATACTGTCTAAAAGTTTTTTAATATAATTCATCATTTTTTATGGAAATATTTATTAATAAAATTTCATATCTTACCAATTTATGTTTATTGTTCTTAAAATTATCTTTAAAATGTTGTTCATTTAGCTTAATAGTTAGTCTTCTCACTAGTAAGGACCTCAAAATCTCGAGATTTTGAGTTACCTCGACCAAAAGAGTTTTCATCATGTTGTGTAGCATATTGTATTATTTTGACCCATTGGACCTCCTAATGAATTAAAAAAAACGAACAGTAGTGGAAGAGTGTTTTTTTTTTTTCTTCAAACGTGAGATATATTCTTTTTTGTTGATAGGTTTTTTCTTCAAATTTTCATGTGTTATTAACAAAATAATTAAAATCCACAAAAGAAAATATATAAAGAGTATTACAACAAATTATATGAAAAAATAACAAAAAAGTTACCAGAATTTTTTTTTTAGAAAACAAAATGTATATATGGCTAGAAACCCTTTAAGATTTTTTTTCCCCAGAATTTGCATAATGAAGGAGACATTATGATCAATTATGAAGATAGAAACAGTAATTGAAGTGCCAAAAACCTTTTGGAGAGAGTGCCAATATTGTTCCCAAAATTCCAAGGATTATAATCATAAATTTAAGAAATTTGTATAAAAATTTTCAAAAAGAAAAAAAAAAAAGAGAGAGAGAGAGAGAGAGAGAGAGAAGAGTTACATACTCAATAAATTGGCAAAAAGAAAAAATAATTAGAGAATTTCAAGTCATAAAAAAATTTACATCATCTAAATTTTGGGAGTGGATCTGTCATGCAAAAACATAAACAATTTACAAACCACCACCATTATAGTAGGATTTGGGTTTTATATTTGTATATCAGAAGAATTATTTTGTATTTGGTGTAAGATTAACTTTATATATCTGTCTATTAAAAAAAATAAAACAAAATAAATAGAAAAGAAAAGAAAATTTACCCTTTTCTGCATGTATTCGATCTCAGCGAATAACATTTCATTCTGGTAGAATAAAGTGAGGTTAGTACAAAAGAAAAACAAAAGTTTTAAAGTAGAAAAATTGCACAATCTTCAAATGTTTAAAAATAAATAAATAAATACCTTTTTGGACCTAATTCTACTGATTCCTTTCTCCAACCTGCCTTCCAGGTTTTTGAGATCCTTAAAGGTCATAGAACTAAGTGACTCACCTAAAATATGCCTACAAAACACACTTAATTATCACATTGAACTTCAAAGAGAAAGATATCTATTTGATAATTCCTACCTGTTGAAATTTTGAATTTCCCTGATTTGCCTGCGTAGTTTGGAGGATTCTTGTTGATAGAACTGCATATTTTTAATATATATTTACAATTCTTATAAATAAAAACAACAGATTTAAAGCAAATATAAAACAAATATAGCCTGATGGTTTGGGCATAGGTTTTTTCCTTGATTCAAATTTTCGACTCATTCATATTGTCGGAATATTTTTATGTTTTTGTGATTTATTTGTCCAGGTTTTTTTACTTACTATAATCGAATTAGTTTTGATGTAGATAAGTAACCGATTAATTCAAATTTAGCCATCGGTTATATTAAGTTTTTCCTAGACTTTATTTATCAATAATATAAAAATTTATTTACCGATCAAAGTATATATAAGTATACCTGAGTGTTAGCTTCAGAAGCAGATGCTGGATTTGTGGAATCTGAACAGGCTTTCTTGTACCTATCAATTGTTGCTCTTACACTGCAAAATTATGCACATCCATTTCAGAAAAATCTCATAAATCAGTTCAATTCAATTACATAAAATTTTTTTTGAAAATAAATTATTTTAAAAATAAGAAATGATAGAGTATGCCAAAAGTAGTATCATTTTGCAATAATTCAATTCATTCAGTGTAGTCAGACATTTATAGGCTTTAGTATAGCATGTGTGCACTTTTCCTAAAAGGTGAATCTGTTACGTAAGAATCATATTTGTTTCACTCATCAACTTCATAAATATATATTATAATATAAAACAACAGTAGTTGTCCTCCGGATTTTCCAAATAACACAGTAATGTCTCCGGTTTAACAAGATATTATCTACTTTAACTACAAGAAAATTAAAATTTACCGAAAAAAGGTTTTTGTCGGTATTTAGCGACAAATTACCATCAAATTATCGATAAAATTTGCGGATAAAAATTTTCTTTTAGAATTTGGACTCAGCCTATGCTCATAATGTACTTTCGATACTAAATTCAATGCTTTTGCGGCATTACAGAATAGATGAATTTAGTTAATATACCATTACTTTTATGGGAAAATATTTTTAGCACAATTTGTGTCAGACCCAACATAAGTAAAAAGATTGTACATAAAAATGATAGATGAATTTAGATATTGTTGATATCACACTGAGACTGTAACTGTAACTGTAAATGTGCACCGATTGTGCCAGCCACAAACGTGTGCATTAGCAAAGCTCTACTTTCATTTGGGAGTTAAATCCACCAAGCACTTAATCCTTTGTGATTTACATAAAAATAAAAAGAAAGAAAATGACTAGTTAATAGAATTTAATTTTTATACACATTGTTTTTACTTGATGACTATTTTACTACATACTCATTCACTCAGAAATCAAACTTCCCAAACACCCAATTTCAGAATTTTCAACATCACACCAAATTTTAAATAACCATTCCTTTACCTTCTAATCCACACACCCAATTTCAGAATGTTCATGATGCAAATATTCTGGAAATCAGAGATGTTGAAAGAAAGAATTTTCGTTAGGACATAAGGTGTACCACAGTACAATAGAGTTTGCTGGATTGAATTATTCTTTTAGATTAGAAGACAAGATGTTGAATCATTTTTCTTACTTTGCATTAAAAGTATGCAACAAATGATAAATACTGAAAAAACACTAAGCAATCAGGCAACTTTGTGTAGCTTATCAGGAGTAGGTTTTGTCATGTCTGTACTTAGTTACTTATATACACACTTTGAAAGAATATTTCATGACAAAAATAGTTAAATAGAATAACAGTACTAACATTATTGACAAGATTGAAATGACTCTTACCATCCTCTAAAGTGGCATTTTCAGTGTATAAATATTGCATTATTTGCTGTTATAACCATTATGGAAATTTGAATAGTTAAAAGAAAGTTGCTTTTAATGTAAATTTAACATATTTTAATTATAAAAAACTACAAATTAAATAGTTCAATAAAAATTTCAAATTACATTGTATAGTTTGTAATAAATTATGTTATTAGAAAAAATGGTTCCAGCCATAATGAGAGAAACCCTATATGCTTCATTTTGTGAATTGTAATGAAATATAATGCACTCGAAGTAAATAAATTTCTAATATAAGTAATATACTAGAAATGAATTTAATTATATTGCATATTATATTTCATTGTGGCTCATTACATGGAAACCAAATTGCTTCAAATTACAAATTTTGAATAAGATGTGTATATGTTAGTGAATTGTAATTACTGAACTACAAAATAGTTGAACAAACATTTCAAATTACACTTTATAATAATTATGGATGGCTTTTTAATAGAAAATAGTTTCAACCATAATGAAAGAAATGCTAATTAAATCACTTTATAAATTAATTTTTAAATAAATTGTGTATATGTTAATCCATATTTTAGGTTAATGGACTTTTCTACAAACAAAATCTCAAAATATGATTGAAGTTTGTAGTATGTAATTTTGATCAATTTAGAAAAGGAAATAGTTACAATCCTACTAGAAATACAGTTAATAACTGTCCCATATATATATATATATATATATACTCTCTCTTGAAGGAAAGTGTTTGAGCATTCATCTCATAAATCTTCCTTTATTTATTTATTTTTTTTTTTTTTCCATATACTATATATACTCTCTCTTGAAGGAAAGGTTTGACATTTCATCTCATAAATCTTCCCTTTTATTTTATTTATTTTTTTTTTTTGAGAAGATAAAATCTTCCCAATTTATAAATGTTTTTTTTTTTTTTTTTGAGAAGATAAATCTTCCTATATTTATAAATGTATAAATACAAATATTCAAATAATTCTTTTAAAAACAGTGTGCATGAACCCCTCTCTCTCTCTCTCTCTCTCTCTCTCTCTCTCTAGGAGGTGAATCCTAGGAAGAGGACTTTAGGTGAATTTGTTACCTTAATTTTCTCGAGCCAACGATTGGTTGTCTCTGCCAAGCTGGCAAAAGAAGGAAGTCTATGCTATGCACAATAATCTACTGACCACCTCGATTAAAGCCATAAATGTAGAGCTCTTTTCTTATGTGACATTTCTTAGTACTAAAATCAATCTATTATCAAATAATAATAAAATTAAGTATATTTCTACTTTAATATAATATTTACGCTAGAAATGTATTAATTAACCTAAACTAAAATTAAATTAATGTCAAAAAATAATATTTAAATGATATAGACTTACAAAAGGTTCTAATGCCAATCAACTATGCTTTAATACTATTAAAATCGTTTTCAACATTAAATTAAAGGTGTTAAGTTTAAATTTCAGTTGAAATTAATGAAATAAAGAAATTATTTTTGGCACAATTTGTGCTAGCCTAAAATGAATGAAGAAACTGTAATTTCTTTAAAAAACTTTTTACAATTTAGATATTATTCATGTCACAGCAAGAGTGTAATAGTAAATGTGCACAGATTGAGCCCTAAACAACTTGTGTCATTTAGCAAAACTCTAAGATAAAACATAAAGTATAATACTTTTTAGTGGATAAAAATATTTTTAAACTAATTTACCAGTAAGTCTTGAGACATTTATTTAAAAAATTGATTTTGACATATATCTATAAATTATACCCTAAGTATGGATTAAAAATAAACTCTAATTAATAAAATGAGAAAGAAAAATTATTAAAGATTAAAATTGAAATATTTTTTTGTCCTGTACTGCCTGTGAACTCTGAGACACACACAGTACTGGTGAGTATCAGATATGGCAGCAAGAGGAGCATTGGGCAGCTCCCATCACCTTACGCAAAAAAAGTGATTTTTCTCTCATTGGTTCGTACCCTTTGTTATCCATTCCTTCTCCTCTCCCATCATCTCTCTCTCTCTCTCTCTCTCTCTCACTCTTCAGCTAGAAAAGATTTCTATGCTAAAATCTTGATGAGCAAATTCATAAATCTCTCACTCTTCAGCTAGAAAAGATTTCTATGCTAAAATCTTGATGAGCAAATTCATAAATCTCTCAACACGAATATTACTGCCCTTTGACGTGAAAATGGCGAAGCATATAAACCCATTTCTATTTTAGACATTATAATATTATTTCCTTAATCATGAAATCTCTTTCCCTCTCTAGGGTTGGAGAGAGTTGTATTGAAGCTTGAAAGAGGAAGTTGAATCTTTAACCATTATGAATTTCATTTTACACAATTTCATATACCATTTATGTATTCTTATGCAAAAGCTTTTCCGAATATTAATTAAAAATAACTTAGTTTGAAGGAATTTGTTTCCACATATATGAAAGAACTCTCTCTTAAAAGAATGACCCAAACATGGAGTGGAGAGATCTGTATAAAGTGGTTCTTTCTTTGATAATTCTTGATTTTAGCTTCAAAGTAATAAAACAAACAAACAAGAGGTAGACATATTTTCAAAGTATTAGGACATATAAGGGAATTTTCTTTATTTTTCTTTTCAAAAAGAAATTAAAGAATGGAAATATTGAATGCGAAGAGATTATTAAAAGAGAGGTCTAGTAAAAGAAGCATGACACCACCTTCTTTGTCAGTTGTGAAGAAACTGAAAAATCATGTCTGACGTGACCAAAGATTCGTAAGTTTGTAACAATGACATACAACAAGAAATTAACCCTAAAACCCAAAGAAAAAGAAAGAGAAAGGAAAAGAGGAAAAGGAAAATAACCCTAAAACCACTAGATCTTCTAGACAAGGCTAAAATGGCCATAAGTAATGAGATATCCAGATACCAAATTGCCTTCATGACCTCATATTCAGTTTAAGATTGTCAAATTAATCGAAAAATAGTAAATTCATTTCAGTTTCTGAATTGTTCTTTGAAACCCTAATCCCTAATTTCATTGGAGGGTAAAAGGGTAAAATAGTAGGGACAAAATGATGACACCTATTACACTTTAAGCACTGCTTTTTTTAGCTTTATTGAGATTGATTGAAGGTATGAGTTTTTTTAGCTTTGTTGAGATTGATTGAAGATATGAGCTGCTGTTGTGGTTTAAGAAATACCCATTTAAGTGAGAGAAAACCCTAATCTGCAATTTGACGGGTACTCTGTTACCATGTTTAATTTTTACTAAAGAAACGTCAACTGATGTATATAGAGAGAAGATAAGCAAAGCTCTTCTTTCACATACCAACAACCCTAGTTATCATATTTTTTTTTTTTTTTAATATTGTTTACTTATTGCTATAGATCTGAATATTAATAAACCAAAAGAGTTAAAGAAGAGAAGAAACACAAAAGAAGAAAAAGAAAACAACAAAAACCAGACAAGCTAGCTCATAAAAGAACAAATCAAGAGCAATTCTTTAAGCAACAATTGAATTGAACCCTTTAAAAAAATAGATTAAAAAGATAATTTTCTTTATGCAAACAAGTGCAAAACCAAAGATAATTAAAAAATCAGAGGCATACATACAAGATCACGAAAAGAAAACAAGTTGCAAACCTGTTATTAGCATATTCATAGAGGCGGCCGCGGCTAGAAAAGACTACAAGAGCAACTTCAGCATCACAAAGCACAGATAGTTCATAAGCTTTCTTGAGCAACCCATTTCTGCGCTTGCAAAAGGTGACTTGCCTGTTTGTAGTATTTTCAATTCGTTTGATTTCAATTTTGCCTCTTCCCGATTTCCTATGGGAAGGGCCATCCGGTTCTTGATTAGGGAAATCCGTGATTGCAACCTATAAATAATATGCAAAAAAAAAAAAAAAAAAAAAAAAAAAAAAAAAAAAAAAAAAAAAAAAAAAAAAAAAAAAAAAAAAAAAAAAAAAAAAAAAAAAACCATAGATTATTAAGAAAAAGATGGCTATTGCTCTAATTAAGCATGAATTTCAGACAAAGAAAACCAAAACAAGCAAAACATATAGAAGAAAAGACTAATTGGGTTACGTTTGATTTTGGTGTTTGTCTGTTCAGTTCACTAACCTGGTAAGGAAACAAAGAAGGAATAGAAAGAAAAGAAAGTATTTTGTTGAATTTAACTCTCTCTTTTGTGCTTCGATTATATCTCTTAACAAGAGTAAGAGTTGCAGAAAATGGAAATGGGTTGGTTCTATCAAGTAGGTATATATGGACATGAAAATAGACCTTTCAACAAAAAACCCAGCTAATAATAAATACTGTTACAATATATTCTTCGTATATGGGTCAAGAATACGGAGGGATTATTTGGTATAGAAGCAAAAGGGGTTTCTTTGGGTTGGATGGATTATAGTTGGGGGTCCATTAACCATCCATTTCTTCATGTATGTCGAAAAGGAGAGGTGATAATGAAAAAAAGGGTGTTGGAAAGGGACAAGTAATGGTGGTTAATTAGACCTCATGGGTTGCAAAGTCAAGTTGCAGTCAGTGCTTTTTAATGTTTTGATGGTATATGGAACAGAAAGGAAATCCAAAATGAGAGGACTTCCCATGTTTTTTCTTTTTGGTATTTTTGGGGCTTTTTTTTCTTCTTTTTTTTTTTTTCGCCTCTATCCATTCCAGCTTATCGTTTCGTTCTTGACTTCAATTCCAGCAGTTGAAAGTTAAAAGTTTGTCACATCCTCTTTGGTTAATTAGAATACTCCAATAGGGTTTGAAGTAATTCTAATTTTTTAAATACTACTACAACATCACACCGAGCAATATTAAATGATGAAATAATATTTTATAGTATCATTTAAAAATAACAAAATTGTATAATAAAATAATCGTAAAATGCATTACAATATTGTATCTCATTGAGATATATTAAAAAGAAGCTGAAATGCTAAGATGCATCTTTCAAGTATCCTACAGAGTCTTTGACCAAAGTATTGCAATAGTAAAAGCCATGCATAGTATGACCTAAGAGTGTCAAAATGGGTTGGTGTTTCAGGTTCAACGTGGATTCGCCTAACACGCGACATGATTAGGGTCAACACAAACACGACATGGATATTAGGCAAGTGACACGAACACGACACATTTAGCTTGTCTAATATCATAAACATGTTAAGTAGATCATGCTGACTCATATACAACCTGTGTAATCACTTAATATCATAAACAGGTTAAATCAGTTGTGTTGACATGTATATGACGCACTTAATATGCTTATAATATTTTTAAATTTTAACATATTTAATTTTAACATATTTAACTCCAATCATATTTAAAAACAGATTTTCATACATAAAATGTATAAATTCTTCAAGATTCATAACCAAAATAAAAAGGTTATACAACAATAAAATTTAAATAGGCTTTGGTTGGAGTATTTATATTTAACACTAAAATTACCTCTTTACTCTTAAATAAACGGGTCACTTGCCTAACTGTGTCAACCTGCAACACGACACGTTTATATTCGTGTCATAAATTGGTGATTTGTCTATAGCACGAATCTATTTAACCTCAACTCTGATCCATTTATTTCGCGTGTTAGGCAAATCATGTTCAAGTGTCATGCCCCGTTTTGACACCCCTAGTATGACCTGCATAAAAAAAATGCATGCATACTATTAATATATTTTTCAATAGTGATAATAATTTTGAGAATTTAACTAATTATATTAAAATAAAAAAATTAAGTATTTTTTTATTTTATGTTATTATATTAAAATAAAAAAATTAAGTATTTTTTTATTTTATGTTTATAATTTATTATAAATGATTGTTTATATATTTGAAATATTTTCCTTATTTTCTTATATAAGTTAATGTATTTTCAATAGTGATAATATTTCCCTTATATTTGAATTCTTTTCCCTTATATTTCTTTCTTATTTTCAAAAAAAAAAAAAAAGTTTTTCCTTATTAATATTAGTTTTCTTTTCTTTACTTTTTTTTCTTCTACATGACATTATCTGAAAATATAAAACAATTTATCTTCTTTCAATTACTGTCATTACAACTTATTTTTTTACACTTATGCTAAATAACTACTCTCCTTAGACTTGGCAATTTTAGAGACTTAAATTTTGTTGTCATTTAAGATAGATTTCTCTACTTTTATATATTATATAGATATTAAGTCTATCTACTAATTCCAAGTACTAAGTAGAGTCAAAATCTGTAAGATAATATTATGTCAGCTCATGACCTGCTCAAAATTTAGCACGAAAAATTTTGTCTCAGATCATTTAATATGCTTAACAAGCTAAACTCAAGCCTACTTATCCAATCGGTTCAATAAACAAGTCAAGTTCTAGTTTAAATTTGTAAAGCATAAAATTGGCTTTTTTCTTTAATTATAAGTTGTAATTGGAGCTCAAGCTCATATTTTCAAGCTCGAATCTAGCTCAAATATAACTTTTATCTAGCCAAGCTCAAATTTAACAGAAACTGACTCATTCACATACTAATAAAGTTTGATAGACTAAATATTATGGCCTAATTATAGAATTTCATGTTAGATAGGTAATAATGGAGTCTTGAACTTATAAATGTGGCTGATGCATACTTCAATATTGATTAAGAGAACGTAATGACATTATGATACTATAGATTGAATATGTGTACTCAGTTGACCCACAATAATATAAAAAATATAAAAAAATATGAGTGTTTTCTTCAGAAAAATTGGAAAAACTAGACAATTTTATAATTAAATAAGTTTTTGAAATTGAACAAACAAATTTTTTAAGTAAATAATTTTTTGAAATGACATAAATTTGAACATGAATTTTAGCCAATTCTTCTCGTGACCTCCTAAATTTTGCGGAGGTTCAATCATGATCTTATATTTTTACATTTCAATAATAACTATGTTTCTTGCCAAAATGAAATAACTTTATAAGAATTCAATATATGACCTATACTTTCACATTTCATTTTGATGTGGGGCTAGTTACTAGTGAAATATAAAAGTGCAAGGTCATGATGTGTCTCCCGCAAAGTTTAGGGGCTTAAAGATAATAGCTGAAAATACACGATCAAATTTATGCATTAGGCATTTTTTTGAAATATTATTCCAGTTAGATTTATGCCTAACCATAATAATATCATTGATTACGGGTATGTTTGGCAAAATTGATTGTTTTTTTAGCTGTTAGCTGTTTTAGTAGTATTTTAGTTGTTTGAATAGTTAGTAGCTATTTTAGCAATTTTTCATTACTAAAAGCTAAACATTGGAGGAGTTCATTTTTTTTTATGAAAGGTTGCATTAACCTTTGAAAGCTAATTAAAACGCTATATTACCGAACACATTAAAAAATAAAATTTAGTGTTTTAAGCTACTTAAAGGGTTTGTTCAGCAAAATTATCTTTTTTAATTTGCTAGTTGTTAGTTGTTTTAGTAGCGTGTAGTGTTAGTTGTTTTAATAGTTTTTAATTGTTAACTGTTTGAATAACTTTTAATAAGAGACTGAAAGCTAAACGTTATTTGGATTAACATTTTATAAAATGTTATCTTAATCTTAACAGCTAGTTTAAATGTTATGATACGAGCACTATAAAAAATAGCTATCGTAAGCTGCTGTCGGACACAACCTACATATGATATAGTCAATAATATTTTGATTTACACAAGAGTAAAAAAGTCCTAGCCACATTTCTGTCCTTTTCTCTTTCCTTCTTCTCTCAACCTTTTTTCTTTCTTTTCATGTTTTTTGGGTGGCCATCAGTCTACCCCGCTTTTTGTTTATTTTTTCATTTTTCTTGTGTTTTTTAAATAATTCCTAAATATATACCTGGTTGATCAACTTATGTGTTCATGTTTCTCAAATATATTCTTATTGATATATCTTGAGGTTTTATTTCCCTTACATAAGGGTTTTATTGGTGTGTTTAACTCATCTTGAGCGAGGTTCTCTTCTTTCTACACATGGGTTTTATTGGTGTATTTGTCTTTTTACAGAGATGTTTCTCCTTATTATGGAGATTTTACTTTGCTTTTTAGGTAGAAGCGCAGTACAAAGTGCAAATCCTTCCTTCAATAGAAGATCTGAGTTTGGGATTTGATAGGAATCGTTGAAAGGTCAGGGAGTCGAATAATAGTTATAAATTTCCTTGTCAATCCACAACTCTATTAGGCCCTTCGAATCCTCTCTTGGAATATGTTTTCTATAAGTGATTAATTTTATTTATACAAAAAGCTAATATTTTGAATTTTACTTTGTTTCTAATTTCTTTTTTTTTTTCCATAGAAAAAATTGAATTAAATACAAATTTAGATAACTAAATTTTGTAAAAAAAATTAAACTAAATTTTAACTATAAATCAAATCCGATCGATGTGATTCAATTTATTTTTTCTTTTTTGACTTAGACTTAATATTTAGATTAAATCAATTTGATTTTCAAGTTTTTTATTTTTTTATTTATAGAATAAAAAAACGAAACAAACCAAGGAACTTTTATTTTTTATTTTCACTAAAACTAAAATAATACCATTTTTAATCAAATTATGTCGGTGAATTTTACCGTAGATGCAAATTCTATCCCACTTGAGTGACTTGTGACGAATGCAATTGAAGTGTGAAGAGGACTTCCATGCTCATGTGATGTCCTGGTCAGTGTACCACCAATTCATCAATTTATTTATGGTAAAAATGGAAGTCCTTGTTTCACATTCTCAGTTGCAATTTGTTTCTCTGCCATATTTGAGGAATATTGATGGGATCCTTCATGACCCAAGATGACAGCCAGTACCACTATTTTTTTTCTTTTCTAACAGAAAATGATAGGTTTTCGATATTTCTACACAGGTACAGCATCTTTTGCAAGACGGTTTACAAACTCTTCTGGTGGATTTGCTATTCCCTATCCATCTCGCTTTCTGCAGTCAAAGAGGTACAGATTGTCCAGTTCTATGGACTACACAGCAATCTTCTTCCTGGACTTGTTGCCTAATGCCTCTGTGCACCACTCTGTGCTCTAGCTAGCGAAGTCTCTTTCTTATTGGACTCGTTACATCTTTTTATACTCCATTAATTTGATGTCAAAACAAGTTCTTTATCATCGTCAAATACTAATTAATAGGCCGTGGCATATTTTGGTTCTTTTTCTCCCAAAACTTAAAATCTTAATTTTTCTTTTATGACCGGCTAACGGTAAGCTCTCACCAATGGTCACTCTTTCCTTTTTTTTTTTTCAAATAATCTTCCGATTTATATTTTTGATACAGACATT